TCTCTTCCGCAAATTATAAATTATGCAATTTCTCAATAATGCAACTGCTCAAAAATTACGCACTGAGCATAAGTCTAAGCGAACGTTTTGTGTTTTTAAATGTCAATGCTCTGAGTATAAAGATTGAAGAATATTGTATGAATTTTTTTCGAAATAACATTGTTCATTGTTACAGTCAACGAAAATTTTTGGAAATCATTATGTTCAATCAACTGAATATATTTCATTTGCGTTCTGATAAACGAACGCAATAGAGTGCAATATATTTGTACGCAATTCAGTTTCGCGTTCAGAGTGAATTGCCTAACCTCGACACCAGTTCCCTTCATTTTACATTCAGGAACACGATATATTNAAACGAACGAACGCAATAGAGTGCAATATATTTGTACGCAATTCAGTTTTCTGTTCAGAGTGAATTGCCTGACCTCGACACCAGTTCCCTTCATTTTACATTCAGGAACACGATATATTTTGCCAGTCATTTCCGCTTCGGTACCACTCAGCTTGATCAAAAGCACTCGGAAGTTGGTACCACCTAAATCCAGTGCCAAAAAGTCACCACGTTCCGTACCGTTTGGTACTGCACGCACATACGATGGCAACATCTTCAGCGACGACGTTACGCCTAAACTTATCAAATCCTCCTTCGTGAATTTAAAGTATCGTTTCAGTAGTTAGTCGGTTGATTAACTGCACAGACGTGATATGGTGAATTCATGAATGCTTCCATCAATTCAGCCGCCCGTTTCATTCCGAAATTTTAATTTGGGAAAGAGATGACTGTTCCAATTTCACTCGAATAACAAATTTGTGCATTCGTGATGTTTCATTGCCTAACTTCATCGTGTTTTAGCTTGAAATCAACGAAAAAATTAATGCGAACGCACTAATTTCTTCACTTCTCTAGAACAAAACTTCACGTTGACTCGAAGAAACAATGACATGTTCGATCGAAAAGGACTTCGGTAAAAATACACCAAAAAACTACGAGCAAAGTGCAGTTTCATTAGAGAAGAGGAGAAATTTGTGATGGATAACGCAATACCCGGTTGGTCACTGAGACCCTTCTTAATGCTGGTCATCATTTCGTCCATAACATGCTTGAGGTCTGTATTTGATAACACGAAAGGTGTGCAGATTTCTTGTATCTTCAACGACATTAAATCTTTAGTCTTTTTAGCACGTAGTTAGTAAGGGTTTTTATTCGCTCAATGAAACAATTTCACTTTAAATTCATAAATATTTGGAATGGAACCGTGAATGCTTCGTAACGTTTCATTTACTTTTCTCTATCCAGTTGTTTGATAGTCTCATCTGTCACTTATATCATGACTACTTCCCACAGGATGGCGAATATTTCGAATGTTTTTTTTCAGCGAATGTACTGCGTGGCTAATACGTGTGTAAAAGAAGATGTACTGAACAAGCTTGACTTGACATGTTCAATTCACTTTTTTGAAATTTGCTATTTCCGCTTGCGAACGCTGACCCGATCCCCTGAAGCGATCAATTGCTGTATTCTTGAGCGGTGTCTTCTGTCCACGTTGCAACGTTATTGGTACCTTTATAAGTTATGAATATCCATCATTTTCAATGCAATAACGCCAATTCAATGTGCAACTCATTCAAATCAAATTCACTGCACTGCTTCTCAGTTTTCAGTTTCAGTTAATAATTGCTATTGCAATTGTACGAAATCATTGTTCACTTCTTACATTCAATGAGCTCTTGAAGATTTTCATCACTAAGACGACGTTCAAAAGATAATTAAACAACAGAATGCAGTGTTCCAATGAAACATTCTCGAGTGTTTTCCTATCCTATATTGAATAACAAATCACAATGGATCTATCAATTTCCAATTGAACGCATCACTAACATGCTTGTTCCTCATTATTGTTGTTGTCTGCTATAAGGCACAATATGTGTCGCGCAATCTAAATTTTATCGTATTCTTCACATTCTTTTCACATCAATTCACAAATATCTCGTAACCAACGAAGACGAAATAAACATCTCTTGGTTACGTCTCTTGGCATAAAGAAATAAAAACTGCGTAGTATCCATCCCTATTCACTACGAATCCAACGACGTTCCAACACAAGGCTCCTCACTCATCGAAGAATCGAGCGTTCCACCAAAAAACATCCCAAGAAAAGAGCATCCGACTAACCCAATCGGTAGAACAACGAATGAATGATCGACCCTTTCTTCCATTTTATCGCTTCCAAAAGAATGCCAAGTCATAA